CTTGTATAAAAAGCATAATACAAAATTATACCAGTCACCTGTAGCCCACATAGAGAAAAATATAAACATGCTTCAGTGATCCTGGTTCAGAGGGACGGACTGCGATTCAGCTACAGCACAGTAACCCATGAACTTGACTCAGCCTCTTAGGGCACTTCAAGGGTGAGCAGCCAAAACTGAGCCCACATAAAAGGCCGCTTCTGAAAACACTTTGCCCAATGCAAGAAATAGGGCATCTGCACAGATGAAATAAAACCGGGGACTTGCTTCTTCAGTCTGTCTGCAAGAATCTATAATTTTATTTCTTCCTGAGCATTATGACTTGCACCTTCATCTTTTGACAGGCCAGTACCTTTACATAAATTTCTTCATGAGCATTATGACTTGCACCTTTCATCTTTTGACAGGCCAGTACCTTTACATAAAAGGACATTAAAAAAAATAAATTATAAATACTTCATGATCAAGCTTACTTGTGTGTATCATGCAGACATTTGGGCTCTTAAATTTCCCCTGTTGCTTCCCAGGAGTCCCCCAATTACTCCCTAAGAACTAACTCCCACCCCCTATTACTTTCCAAGAGTTTCCTGCACTGCTTCCTGGCAATCCCCACACTGCTGTGTAGCTCAGCATCTCCCCACAATTCCTGGTTTTCCAGGAAAACCCCAACATTACTTTCTAGGCTTTCCCTCGGTTTTGTAGGAATCCTCATGCCCTTCCAAATCCCTCTGGGTTTCCAGGAATTCCTTGTGCTGCTTTCTAGGACCACTATGTATTGCTTCCACCCCAGTTTCAGGGAATCTCATTTTCTCTCCAGGGTTTCTCCCTTTTCTATTTTGTAATTAATATTATTTGCTTGTACAGCACCAGGAAAAGTACAATAATCCTCTTTGCTATTTTTTCCCTTTATGCTATTTAAGACCTCTAGCAAGACGAGGGTCTGTGCTTCAGAAATAGTGTAACAACCACTCATAAGATCATATCATACTGCAAGGTCATTGCTAACGTGCATTTAGGTCTTTCCAAAATTTACTCTAGTAACTTTTATTGTTGTGAAATAATTTATTTCATAATTTACTTTAAATACCTTGTGCTACCCCACTAGAGATAGGCAAGTATTATATTGGTTCCTTAAGGAAAGATGCTGGAGCCCACTGGCTTATTAATCTTGACATGAAAGTAGAAATCTCAAACACACAAAACTATTTCTTCAAGTTTCATGAAGATGTCAACCAGAATGCAAAACCAAACCAAAACAAAGAAAACCAGAAATGCAACCGCCAGGGACAAAGGCCTTAATTCTCTGGTGAAAACAAAAAAGGACTGGAGATAGTGGTGCATGTAGAAGTTTGTGAAAACAGTTGAGTCAATGAACAGAGAATCTCATGAGGTTTATCTGCTATAAAACTTTGAGATCCAGTTTAAGTTCTGATCTTCTAATGAATGAGAAGTCCCTACCACACACACAAAGTTTCCTGAAAATCCAGAATTGTTGGAGGCAGTCTCCTAAAGCTACTGTTAAAAAGTAGGTGATTAAACAGCATTTTTTCTCAAGATTATTTCCACAGTAACTTCATGTCTAATACAAACATCTGCAAGTCTAGGTGAGAAATGCAGAACTACATAGTCAACCTAAACTGTTACTCCAAAATACAATATTGTTAAACCAGAAAGGAACAGGGTGTTTAACAAACTGCAAAATGTTTTGACTCAAAAGTGTCCTACAGCAGATGGAGCTACAAGTATGGTCTATGAATAGCCACCTACACATGAGAACACACAGGGATAATAAATATACATAATGCATCCCATCAAGTGATTATCTTAAACAACCTTCCTTTCTACTGCAAAATGACACACAGTTCACCTTTGTGAACAAAAGGTCACAACAAAGCAGCTCTCCAAGTTTCACATCAACAAAGACCGAAAAGAAATAATGTAATCAGCTTGCAGTGCTCATTCAAATGTCACATAAAAGTTCAAGTTCATCTCTTGACCAATACCTACAATTATGTCATCTGTGTTCCTCTTCAGAGAAGAGAAGATAGGGATGCTTGCCATCTTCATCTGAAGTGTGGGGACTGAGAAAGGACATGTGTTATTTCACCATACATCAGTGACAAAAGTAAAAATCAGTTTGTTTCAAGCAAGATTCCTCATGGAACATCATGTGTCCATCCATTACCACGCTTCCCAACAAAACTGTGGCATTCCTCTCCTTAACCAGAAACAAGTGCACTGCAAGAGTTCCATATGTTCCCCTCCACCACCTCTGCATTCCCCTCTCCCCAAAATGATCCATCTGGCTGACCAACCAGACTATACCAACCAGATGCGGAAGTGCTCCCAAGTGCTGAATGGTTTTATTTAGCAGAGGAGAAAGTCAGTTTTCCAAGTGAAATCTTTCCAACCTCAGCTCCACAGTAGAGTAGAAACATTAGTAAATTTTAGATCAAGCACCTACCTTCTCTTCTTTCCCTTTCAATGAAAAAAGGACTTGCAGGAGTGGGCGATCCTGACTAGAAACATTTACTAATTCCCTATGAGGTGATCTAAAAGAAGTATATGAATAGGCCAGCAGAGCTCTTAAGGATTTTACAAAGAAATGTGCAAACTCCTTCCCAGTAGCTCACAAGTCCAAGACCACCCAACCTGATGTTGAATCACTTGACTTTTCTGTAAGTTGTATGAATTGAAAGCCTCACGTAATTTACACTGGACTGTTGTATACATACTAGCATCTTCTCCCCCTCACAATCATATTTTCTCTCCTTTCCATCTGGCTAAAAATCATGGTAAATTGTGTCTAACACAAAGAAAAACCACACGGGCAAGACAGGACTGCCAAAAAAAAAAAAAAAAGCTAAAAGCATTACCTGTTACAATGTTTCAAAATTTAGATACATCACCACAGGAGCATATTATTTTTTAAATCATGCTTTATTAGGAAAACATCCTTCTTGATTACATAAATACAGGTAATATGCTCAAGGCATTATCATTTTAGGCACTAATTTGATTTCCAATCATAATCTGTATGCTCAAGACTAAACAATTCCCCAGTTCTAATCATCTTAATAAACAACAAACAGCTAAAGGTATAAATTTGCAGGAGTTCCGAGAACAACTACCATGCATGACATACTTAAAGAATGATTAAAGTCAAAATTGAGCAGGTGGCATCCATACCTAATATCCTTAAGTAGCAGTGGACAATTCTCTGGCAATACAGGCTATATTATCTCTCATTAACACTGCAAAGCTAAGGCATTGCGAAACTCTTGTGATTCTTGTGTTCTTAGAATTGTTGCCTACTTTTGACTATTCCTTATCATCAGTGACAAGGGTCATCCCTGAATTTGCAATTTGGCCTTTAGATCTCAGTCACTGAACCCCCAGAGCTGTTGTTTCACTTCAATGGAAAGATTAACTTTATTTCTTTAGGAGGAAATTCTACTTCAGCTTGCTTCCCAAGCAGTCATAATGTTTGTGTTTACTCAACCAAAGATACAAGTATAAAAATCTTTTTCAGGTGTTAATTTAAGCCAGCTGAGGCAAAATGGCTGAATTCTACCTTAAAAGATCTACAGTATCCCTCTACCCAGATGAGTTTCTGCTGATAATTCCAAAGACTTTCACAAGTCCTGCGCAAGTAAAAATCTTCTCTAACTGCACATGCTATTTCAGATCAGTTCAAATTAATTTCTTGCTACAGCCTTCAAAAAATTGCTACTTAAATAAGCAGCTATATTCAAAACCAGCCTGTGGGAACAAGTACGGAATCTGCAGGTGTGGTGGCTGAGCCAGACACCAGAGATATCCTTGGCCTTGTTGGTCATGAGCCATGGGATAACTGAAGAAGAGCTAAGTGAAAAACAAGGTCAATGCTGTGACCAATGGACCTTGCAAGATTAACTTTGCTTCCATATAAGGCTTGGACTCAGTGCTTGCCAGATAGCAAGGTGATAAGAGAAAAGTAGAGGCTTTGTTTTGGGATGGGTATAAAAGGGTGTAAAGCGTTAAATAAAGACATCCCAATGCTGCTTGCACTTGTGCATGAACTTGGGGTCCGTGCCTTCATTGCCACACCAGTTGTTTTCAGTTACTCTACTGAAGTTAGTAACATTACAAAACAAACAAACAAACGAGCACTAGTTTGGGAATCTTTGGATTAAAATAGTTTTGTATCTTTGAAGATCAAATGAGGGTTCTGAGAGAGAAATTCTGTATTAATCTAGGCAGATATATGCTACCATAATGTAATTTTTACTTTGACTATACTCACAGGAAAAAGCCATCATCATGTAATAACCTTTCATCTCATTAAAGAACACACACACACACAAAAATGTCTTCATACACATATGCAGGTTATGAAATAACTGACCTAAAACAACCAAACTAAACCAAATGTAAATCAGACTTAAGAAGTCAGCCAGATGCTTCTAATGCACACTCCCACGAGTCACAGGCCAGAACAGCTTCATCACCGATACTCTCATAATGCTAAAGAATCTAGCAGGCACAAGAATTTCCATGACAGTGTACATATGGCAAGTCACAGAAACATAATAGTACACATAAAGTTTATAAAAAGTACAAACAGGTTTTTGGTTTCATTAATAACACAGGAGAGATTTGATCACTATGTTGTACTTTAATCCAAAAGGTAAGATACTGAAGGCCCCATTTGTATGGGCAAGACATTCCTGGTCACCTCCTTCTCCCCAGCCTCACACAGAGCGTAGAATTTCAAACATTTAAAGAGCAGTAGTGTATCACTTCACATGGTACCCTCCCACCCTCAACCTGGCAAGGACAGAATAGCTTAAAATTCCAGCAGTACAATAGAGCTCCAAGACCTCTGTGGAGTATTTTTAGAGGCTCAAACAAAATGCATCTCACTTCCTCTCAGTTCAGACAGTAGCCCTAAACTAGAATGATTTAGACAGGACAAACCGAAAATTAAGGACTAAGTTTCATAAACAGATTGCTTAAAAAGAAATCCATGAAAGACAAACAGGTCTTTCCCAGAAACTGTTTCACAAATATCCATAAATATAAACAACGTGGAACTAGGGTGAGGCCAAGAACACTGTCTACATTCAGAAAACTAAAATAGCTAGGTCATCAATCCCCAAGAGCAAGCCACTGTGTCACTGCCACTGTTTGGCATCCAGCACATACTTTGAAGATCAACATTAAATAGTTTTGTAAAAGAAAATATCCTAAGTGCCAAAACCAAAACTTACTGAAGTAAAGCAAATCTGCACAGCAATACTTTCTGAAAACACAGTTCCACCAGAAAAATGCTTTTCTTGGGAAGAAAATCTATTTTTAATAAAACATCATAAAAAGCCTTTATACTTAGATAAAGATCTTCTATTTTCTCATGTCCCTGTCATGCTAGCTGTTCAGCAATGATCCTCCACAATTCCTGTAGGAGTGGAAAAAATACATTCAGGTATTTTCTCAGATCAGTAGGTTGCAATTATGGAAAAGTTCAACATGCCCACTTGAAGACAAGTTTTGAGAGACACGCCCTATACCTCCATCTACAGGTAGTATCCACCTGTGTAATCTGCTAGAACAACCACCAGATTATCTTTGAGACAGAGCAATAGAATTGATTTCTTCATTCTTGTAGCATGGGGTTTTTTTAAATAAAAAATTAGTATCATTCAAGTAACTTGTCTTAAATAATTTCATTGGTCTGCATGATCTTCTGCAGTATTCTGACTGATAATCTTGCTCTCTTTCTTAGCCTGTGTTGACAAACACTTTCAATAATGCTAGTAAAAATACTCAATTTACTGAGGAATGAAGGTCTCACAAATGCATGTCTTATACAAACACACACATGCTTCTCCATTGGACAAAGAAGATGAAAAACAGACCACTTCATGTCTGTAGAATAAATTAGTGAACACTCTGTCTGCTACACAAAAGATTAGTAAGCAGACTATCACACCATGACATCTTGAATTTTGGCAATATACCTCATGATAAATAAAAAACTTAGGTGTTTTAACAATGCATATATTTCGAAGACCGGTATAATCGAGGTTAGATTTCTGTACTTGTAAAACTTGTTTGAAAGTTTTGCATGCATGTTTTATGGCTGAAGGTATCAGCATTAAGTAAAATAAATCAATCTTATGAAGTAACTGTGGCCCCCGCAATCTTACTACGCATAAGTACTGCAGAAGACACAGCAATAGTATGTTTGCTACAGGACCGTCATTTCTTGTAACACATTTGCAATCCAGTACAATATTTGCAAGTTTTCTAAAAAGATGTTAGACTGTATTGTTCTAGAAGCTAGCAAGCTATTAGCTACACTGTGTAATATTCATAAGAGCAGACAACTGGTAGAAAAAATAGAGAAAGAGAACCATAAGTGCTTGGGAGGTAATCAGATAATTACAAAAATGTATCTGATACTTCTGAATAACAGAAGTTTACAGCTATTTGACATCTTCATAGATTATTTTCTGAACCCTGAACTGGGAAAGGAATTACTAAAACTACAAAATGAAAGTTTTTTTTTTTAAAAGCAAATAAATGAGAAGAGATATTGGTCCCATTTTCTAGTCAATCACAAAAATTGTACTCTACAAAGTAATGGAGATTGTTTCTTAACCTTTGAGGAAGTGAGTGCAATCTAAGCCACTGTACTGCTGGGGACAGAAAAGGGTATAGTCATGTCAATCTAGTATAGATTATGTAAGCACAAACAAGAATAATTTTAAAACAACAAAAGGTAAATTGAAATAAATGAAAAGGTAATTCTTATTCTCCTGTTCTTTCTTCATGTTAAGTAAACAGCCGAAAACTAATTTGAGATGATTATCCCAACACATTAAATTTATTTTAATGAATGCCACTTACCAACTGCTCAATTCGTTCATAAACGAGAAACTGGCAGAAATCAAGCTTAACGGGCTCCACAGTATATTTCATTTTTCTATCTTGGAGTTTCTCCAAATCATTCAGAGTATTTCTGAAATGACTGTAGGCTTCACACGTAACATCCATATGTCTTAAAGTGAAGTTCAGTCTGGCAAGAGAATATGTAATTTAAAATGTGTCTCCTATACTGGCATCTTAAATAGCTAGGTAACTGGAAAATGTACACCTCCCCACTATTCCTGAAAAGTGGACAAGACTTATGTTAGCATCAATACACCAATAATTCTTGGATGAATCTTTCCATTGATTTTAAGGTACATTGCTGCAACAGAATCATTGGCTTGGCTTCCTGGACTTGGCACCAAATCATATGAACAAGTATTACTTTACATATGTCCAGAGATTTAAGCAAAGCCTATTTATATATTAGTTTATGAATGGACTGTAACACATGACAACTTCAAAACTTCAATGATTCTTTGAAAGGAAAGACAAGAGAAATTGCTGTAGAAGTACTCAAGCTGGGAAACGTATACACCAATTCTATGTTCCTTCATTCCACTCTATGACCTCAGAAATACATGGCAGATGTTGTCAGGCATTATAGAATACATCAGTTTGGCCACCTGTTTATAGAGGTTATCTGCTGCAAGACAAAGGTAGAACAACAAAGGCCAAGCTCCTGTGGAATTCAAATTCTGAACTGATAAAGATTAAGCACATATAAAAATAAATGCTTGTCCTGAGCATATACAGCAGCCTGTGATCAACTAATACAATGAAAATCAGAAGCCAACCTTCAATGAAATCAGATGTTTCTTCCAAATAAAGAAAGCACGTAAAGTTTTTTTTTGCTTTTATTTTAAGTTCTTGGTAATACTTACCTCTTTTCTAATGCTAGATAAACTGTGCAAGAATTTCTCAAGTTGTGTGTGATTCTATACAGCGTTCTAAACAAGGCATCTGTCAGGTCATCATCATAGAACACTTAAAAAAAAGATTAGGAGCATAAAATATGTATGTTTAAGTTAAGTCTCAGGTATGAAACAACAACAGGCCTTAGTTCTATTCAAACAAGTCACTATTTTAACTAAATCCCAAAGTATATTTTTAATGGCAACAACTGACCCTGTAATAGTATCCACCGCTGCTATTTATTTCAGGCTTTCTTTAAAATTTCTCTTGTATCAATGGGAATCACTTCTGTAAGACAACTTACAAAACTTTAACAAGATTTCTCTCAGTCTGGAAATAGCTTACTGCAAAGCTAAAAAAGACAGCATATCACAATGTAAAGGGCCTCATTTCTTACAAAAATACAAAAAAGGCAGTAACTAATATACCATTATAATGGTATCTCCTTGGAAAGCAGTCTTGCAACACCTTTCTATATCATAACTAAAAATCCTCCCAGATAAGCTACCCTGTCATTTTTCAGTCTGTCACTCTAAGTAAGAAAAAGGGGGCTGGGGGAAAATATCCAAAGGCATAGACTCTATGGGCAAGCGCAGCATCTGAAACTGTTTTTCACATTATAGAATATATTAGTCTAACCACCTATTTATCATTATTTGCACAGAGGTTACCTGATGCAAGACAAAGGTAGGAAAACAAAACTCTTCTGAAAGTCAAATTCATCACTTACTTGTGATTAATGTTCTTGGAGTAATTTTTTTAGTCACAAATAATTACCACACCAAATGAAAGAAAAAGCTAGTATTTTTCAACATCTGTCTTCCTACTGCCAATCCAGAATGTAAATACAATTATTTAAAAAAAAATACAGGCAAGAACACTTAAGGCAGAGCTTTGACAAATTAGGTAAGGATCTGACCTATTGGATTTTAAAAGCAAACTAGGTTTGTTTAAATTATTACTCATAATGCTCAAGTGCTTGATTTAAAACCTTACTGTTTGTATTCTCCTACCATCAGCTGCTATTATCACAGTACAGTGGTCATGCAAATCAGCAATCTCTTCTTCAGACCAGCTATAAGGAGCTTCAGGATCTGTAACAAAGAATATGGCTTTGGTGTACAAGATTAAAATGTCTCAAATGATTGATAGCTTGAAAAAAGAAACTTCTTAACTCCCGTGGTCATCTGCTACTCCATAAACAGAGAACCCCACTGAAGGCAAATCAAAACCTCCCTCTATTCATTCTCTGAAGTTTCCTGCAGTCCTTTGCTTTCTCTGCATTATGTCCAATCCTCTCAAGGCTGACTGGCCAGAGTAAGTTTTCTTTGACTTTAGAATTTACAACCAATTACTACACTGTAGTGATATCACAGATTTAACTAGATAAAAATAAATACTACTTTAAATAAAAAACCCAAATGCATCTTCATATAAGTTTTAAGTTTCCTACTTCATCATGCTTTTTAAAATTTACTTTGTTAAAATATAGAAACTTTCTCTGAAAGTCTAAAAACCATAAAGCCTTTTCAACTAGCAGTATCAAATATTTTCATTAACCAGAATTTTTTTAAGGTCCAAGAAAGCCTTCTGAATGCATAAAGGAGGTTTCCACTTGCTTAAATAGTTGTTCTATTTTTTCGAAGCATTACATCAAATTCAACTAACAATATAAAAATCTATGAAGTAGGCTTCATATAAACCAAGCGCTACAATATTGTGTTGACCTTGCAACCACTAGAAAGAAAGTTTTAGTGATCTGTTTTACTATCATTAATTGCACTTTGAATGTTACTCAAGTTAGTTGCTTTTACTTTGCTAAAAGCAGCAGAACACATTCCCTTGGCAAATATTTAAAATATAACACATTCATCACTACATTTGGAACAAGTATTTGTACATCTTCAAATAATCACCTACCCTCCCCACCACCTTTTAGAGTTTTGTATTCATGCAGCGATAAGCCACACAATACCCCCACATTAAAACCTGGATTACAGTAACTTAAATCCATGTCATTGTGCCTGGATTCCATTATCACCTCAAAACAGATACATCTTGTTTGCATCTCTGGATTTTGACCTAAGTAAAGGACAGCCACCACTTGGCTATTCTCAACTTGTCAGTAAACCCTTCCATACTCACTGACATGGCAGTGATGTACCCAAAGACAATCATGTTCTTTCACCTTTTTTTCCCCAGAGGTGTGTGTGCTGCAAGACTTGCATCATAAAAAATGAAATAAGCATTTCTTGATGACTCTGAAGGGAAAAAACCCAAAACAAACCACCAAATCCTATCTGAAAGGACTCATTACAACCACCTACCAGTGCAGAATTCATGTTTCAGCCAGTCCAATTCTTTTACTTTAACTTCCCCTCCTGTGGGCAAAGAAAGATCACATCAGTCACAAATAGCCTTTCAGACAGTACCTAAGCAAAATCAAAGAGCCAAAATCTGTACTGAAACAAGTGATGAAGATATATTATAAGGACATATGAAACAAGTAAAGTTGAACATCAAATCATTTACTGTACAAAACCAATTACCCACTCACAAGAGAACAAACAGGATGAAAGGTCAGAAAGACAACCTATGTTCTCTTTTACATGTCTCACCTGCAAAATACTTCTCCTTTCCAGAGTTCTAGCTCTGTCATTTACATTCTGTTTATGTAACCCTTGGCTCCTGGATATCTGTGATGCTCCCAAGTACCTCAGTGAAACTCGCACAATGATTGTGTAGGAACTACAGCTGGTCTTAACTGCTGACCAGAGAAAGTGTTTTGCTCTTCACAAAAGGAAGCTGTCCCATTATGGGTCACATAGCAATATCATGCATCTTTCTTTTTAAATGAGTCACTTTTAACCAAGACGAAAATTTAATTTTACTTGTGAATATGCTAGCTAGTCAATGACTGTGCTGTTTAATCCCCAAGGAGTTCATATATAGGCAATTGCACAAACACTGACTGTATAGCACTTACTTCCCGGCTCCATCAGGTGTTTGTTTAATGCAATATTTTGCTCACACATGCCCAGAAGATCTTCACCAACATCTGGAAAAAAAGTGATCATGATATTCAAAATAAGAATATTTTACATGGGCCATGCATGCCCCTGACCTCTCAGACTAATACTCTAAATTTCTCTCAAGCTGACAAGATTAAAGAAAATTCAGAGCAACTCTATCCATTGATGATTGCTTCCCTAGTATACTTCTCGCTTTCATCTTTCAGCACTAAGCTCTTGAAGAAGAAGTTAGATCCCTATACTACCTATTTTAATCTAGGCATGCTATCTTGAATTCACAGCACGTGTTTTGCTGTTAAACCCTTGTGCTTAAAAGTAGTACTGCTTTTTCATCTGTTGAGAAAGTTCTTGTTATTTTTCAATAAACCACACAACTTTATACAAGTTGATAAAAAATTATTAACTAAAACTGAACAGATGAGGATGACAATCCCAGGATGAAAGCACTGCTTCATGAAGTTTCATGAAAATATTTAACTGAAAATAACTGCCTTACCCGTGCAATAAACTCTCTTTGCAACTGTTCCCATGATAATGCTTGTAATTCCAGTGCCACCTCCAAGCTCTAGCACTGAGCAACACCTGAACGTGTCCCGTTTAAACAGAATGTAATCAGCAAGAAGAAAGGCAGCACGCCAGACCTGTGCACAAGAGAAGCACTTAAAACTGAGTAAATTCTGAAGCACGATACATGAACAGCAAGATACTACAAGGCAGAATACATACTTGTTTACCAACATCTTCTAAGGGGGTTGCCATAGTATGTTCTGTGAAAATGAGAGTAGAAACAATTATCTCAAAGTTCCACAGTGACGAATTTGAAAATCAAGTCATGCTTCCCTTTCAAATACAGAACTAAACACTCTTCATTCTATATAGTAATGCTAGATAATGCTGAAAATGCCACTCTAAATAAGGATCACCCAGTTTCCCATAGTAAACTATTGCCCAAATCACTTCTGGAGAAAAATGGTAAATTCTTAAAATATTTACAATATCACAGTGTTACATTTGTTTTATTATCTCCTTTCACTTAACAACTGCTGTTCCATTTCTAAAGAAAACCTATTTTTCTTTTGGTTTACACAAACATATTTATTCCATATCTCCTTGACTGTAAGCCTACTGTTTACCTATTTTAACAACATCACTGCAAGTGTATTCTTGTTCTTCATCTTCAAAAGCACCTTCTTTCCCTTTCATCAGAATTACAGGATATACTCTATCCCTCAAAAGATCCTCCACTTCTAAATCAGAGGCACTTCGAGGTCTTCTGACAACTTCCAAGTCTCCATCATCATCTAGCAGAGCTTCTAGTCCTTCATTATTTAATTCTCTTTCTTTTTTTAGATTATTCCTGTCCTTGTCACACAGTTCATCTCCACTTCTGTACTGGTGTTCTCCTTCTGCTATAGCTTCTCTCACATGTTTCTCAGATGCCAAATCTTCTGTGTTCCAAAGGATTTTGAAATATGACAGGAATACTGTAAGAACACAGAGGGGGGGAAAAAAGTTAAACACCAGATAAGAACAGAATCTATGCACAACTTCCACATGCATGAACTTTTGGTATGCATTTCACATATTAAAACTTGGTAACTTGAAATGTAGTTCAATTTGCTACAAAGAACTATTTCTATTATTAAGTTCTGTCAGTAGAAATAAATGAAGCACTTTCACAGTCTACTGGCTGACTCAGCATCTACTCAGTCACAACACACACTTTAACCTGATTTAGTAACACATATTTTAACAATTGGCAGAAGGAATGGTTTCTTACACCCTCCAAAACTCTTCTGTTGAGACAAGCTCAAGCCAAGTTGAAAGAAGAATTAATAAAAGTTAGAATTTGTTTCTTTCAGTTAAGATTTAATTCCTATCTTATAAGAAACAAACATGTTCTAGTAAAAAGTAAGTAGAACTTTTTTATTGTTTTAAAAGTCTAGGAATTCAAGCAACTTCAAGCCTTGAAATCAGCTTAGCGTGAGTATAAGAGAGCAGAAATAAGCTCACAGGAAGCTGGACATGCTGACACTTTTTTTTTTTTTTTTAAGTCTTCAAACTGAATCTTTGATGAGATTGAATGAATGAGGCCATTGTTCTCAATACACCAATTAATTAAAAACCTTTTGCAACCATCATCCAGTGTGTCATGTCAGCATCTATTAAAAATTTCAAGTTATCCAAACATGGACCTTGCAATTTTAATTACAGGAATCTGCATTGTCCAAATACAACACAGGAAGAACAAATACTTGTCCTTCCATCTACAGTTGATCTCAGCTCTACAGCAGTGCTTAGATGGACTGTGCTTGACTTATACAGGCCAGTCATGGAACACAGAATCATGGAATTTGATTCAGCTACTCTCATACTAAACCAGTGTTTGAAGACCTCTTAGGCTGGGTACTATTATTTCAAAATCACACACAACGTGTTGAGACTTGAGAAAAAAATAGCCAAGAATACATCTAGTGAAAAAGGTCAATACCAACAAGATTTTAAGAATGTCTTAGAAGTATGTTCATTCACACCAAAGGGGAAGAGATAAAGTGCTTGCCATCATTGCTTTCAACAATTTCTCAATTTATGGAGTTCTATTCCAGTTTCTTTAGAAAGCAAGATATTCAAAGTTGGTCTACTGTAACCTGAGAGAAGTCCTTCTCTAGAGAGACCATTTTCAGCTAGATCTAATAAAATCCTCATTGCCTATCCTGGCATGAGAAATTCTTTAAGTCATCTACTGTTTGCCTGACAACCAGATTAAATTGATTTGAATATTTAACAAATTAGAGGATGCCATCAGTGAATGAAATGCTTTTGTTCTCCCAAGTCCATTCTGGTCCTCTGTATGTTCTATGGCATTTCAAAAGGTGTAAGGTAAAACTGATCCAAAGCAGCAGAGACTAAATCCCAATGAGGTTCCCTAAAAAACAGCCAAGTGACAGTGGTAGACTGTCATCATATTTGTTGAGAGTAAAAGCTGTCATAGTACAACCCAATTCTTGTCTTATTAAATAAGTAATTTCCCCAGACATTCGGAGTAGGTAGCATGTGCTGTTATTTCATTCTGTTGAAAGGTTCTTTGCATCAAGCAAGATCACAGCAAACAAATGTTGAACAGCACGAAGGCACACCACAGCATTAATTACCTGGTTTTGACCTGCTCAGGGTCAAAATTATTACGCATTTCTTTGTCAAGCCTACTTTCATCATTTTTTACATTGTCATAAGCTAGAACAGCTGCGAAAGTTTTCTTTTTATGTCATAACTGGGTTTGAAAAAATAATTAACACTTCTGTCACAGCAGGAGCAGTACTTTTCTACAGAACATTTTATCAGCAGCTTCAAAGGTCAGTTTCCTTGACAACTTTATAGAAACCTGCAAGCTGGCAATCAGTCTGAGGCATTTGCCAATTCATTTCCACTACAGCCTTGACTCTTCAAATTACCCAAGTCAGTCAAAACCACTGCTATTCTGAGCTTCTTGTTGCCAATTTTTTTAAAACAAAAAACGAAACAGACCTTTTAGGCTCCTCTGGAATAGATGGTGAATCATCACAAAAAGATTTTATAAACACTTATAAATTAATTACTGATAATTTGTTTTTAAACTTAAGTTACACTATAGAAAACCCCTGGTTTCTCAACTTTTGTTTCTATGTAAGAAATATCCCAATTTTTTAACATGAGTCCCAAAATACTGTATTGAGATTATAGATAAATGAACAAACAAATAAATAAAATTAAACCTGCAAACAAGTTAATTTGGTCACTTATCAGAAAGTAATTTAAGATTTCTTTTTTTAGGATAGGCTGTCTACAAATTCTACATTAATAGTTTTCACTTCTGTAGTTAATTTCATGAGGAGAATCCAGCTAGCCCTCTTCCTAAAGGCTGAGTAGGAAGTGATTCTGCTTCTAACTAACTGGAATAAAATATGCAATGATTAATATCAACCATTCAAAGGAGGATTCATACATTACAAAGATATGAATACACTTAAAATATAGCTCCATCAGTCCAAACATACATTACCTGGTTGTCCAACTGCATTCAATCGTACCATGAGATGTCTTTTGTTTGGACAGTGTAAGTGAACATCAGAAAGTACAGTGCCACTTTTAAACGTGGGGTTATCCATCTCTCTCTCTGTTACATCCACCATGACGTGCTGGTGAGAGGAACATCTACAGTACCGAAACAGTCCCCTATGAAGTGCTGTCACAAAGCGATACGATACTCTTCTATTAACAGGCATCAAGTAACAGTTTTGCTCTGCAAGATAACCTCATGACATAGCTGCTGAGAAGACCTCAGGCAAGATGTGACCGTGCTCCAATAAGACAGCAAGCTGTGCATCAGGATATTCAACCTAAAATCAAACACAGACAGCTTTGAGTGGCATCCTGACACTGTTTGAACTTTGCTGCCGCAGTATTTTAGAAGATAAAAATCAGATTACACTGTCCAATAAAACTGCAATGCTCCAATGCTCTCTTTCACAATGCTCCAAAGAATCAGCAAATACATAATAGCTAGTAACACACTGGCAGACATCACATATTTTAGGAAGACCTACTAATCAGCTTGTGTTATCCCCCTCTCCCCCCTCCCCTCCCAGGCCCCCAATTGTTATAATGAATGTACAGGCTTACAATGCTAAGTCAAGGTCTTCAAAGGAACATAAGGCCTTGTGTGCACAACTTCACAGTTTTAAGGGTTCTTCATAGGACTCTGAATTTTCTCAGATATGGACACAATTACCAAATGTATTATCATAGGTCCCCCAAATTTTCTAAAAGGAGTATCTGCCCCTTTGGCTCCTTTTATATGCCTCCACTAATTGGGCAGCTAATGTCTCCTTTTTTCAGTGATCTTTATTCTTCCCCAGAAAAAAAAATAAAAACACCTGAAATCATCCTCATTACTTAATGTCCAAGGCTGAGTTGTCTCTCTGTCCTAAGGCACAAGCAAATAAACAGAAAAAAAATAAACAGAAAAATAAAGAGGATATTTATTTCCCTATGCTCTACAAAGGGAAGGGTATGTGAAACACTGATGAACCATATATCTGAAAACAAAATGTGTATCTTCAAAACCCGAGATGACAAGCTTGGATCACACACACACACACAAATCACTAACCATTATAAAAATTATTTAGTTGACAAAGACACCCAGGTCCCACCAGCTATGAGCACCCCTAATACCCCTTATGTAAAGGGGTTGATGCCATTTCCTATGTTACCATTAACATCTTGGAAGATTAAGCTAAATTTTCTATTATCTGCTTGTGCTTGAACAACATCATAAATATACAGCTATAGAGGCTTAAAAAGCTTCAAGTTATACAGGCAACCTTCATTAACTTCAGTTATCAAGTTCCACCAGCTTTTGCAAAATCTCATCCAGCCTCCAAACCTGCCCTTTGCCAGCAGAAATCTGTGCACCAGCTACATCCAAACTTGATGCACAGCAACAGAACGCAGTTTCTCCACCACCTGCGGAGGAGACAAGCCAACGCAGCGCTACCAGGGAAACGCTGGGCACCGTTTCGCGGTCAGGGCAGAGCCCGAAGCCTCGAGTCCTGGCCTGCCCAGCGCAGCGCCCGCAGCCGAAGCCTGCTCTTCCCGAGGAGTCACCGCCTCCTGCTCGGGCGGCGCCGGCGCAGCCCCCAGGCGGGCCCCGGACCGGCAGGTGTCCAAACGAAGCCGCCCCCC